TAATACACAATTGTTTTCAAGAACCATTCAGCTCAATTTGGATAGAAAATATTACTTAGGAAACAATGAGCCTTTCAGATGTTTTGGCTGTCTTTCAGCTAAAGCATATAATTTTGGTGTTTGTAGGGAGGTATGAAAAGTGCCGTAAATGTATGCAGGCTGTCAGTCACAGGGGAAGGGCAGCAAAATCCAAGCTGTCCAGTCCTACAAGGATCATTAATGTGCTTCTGATGCCACTCTTGGCTATGGGCAATGCCACCCTGAAGGAATTGTCCTTCCCCTAAGCAGGAATTGGACCAACCTGTACAAAGCCTGGTCATCAGTCATGCTCCAGCATGACATGGGACACCTCTCCTCCTGCTTAATGTAGTGGCTGCCCCCATGATGGCTGTAGCCACGCACCAAGCTGGGCTGGCATCAGTTGCACGGTCCAACACCTCTCCTCACCAGCTTCCTCTCGCTGAGAACCAGGCAAGGATTTGAATCCTCACTTCATCTGTGATCCTTCATCAGGCTGAGAAAGTTGGGGATGCTCAACGTGGAGAAGAGAAACTATGTGGAGACTTCAGAGCAGCTTCCAGTGTTTGAAGGGGGCTTATAATGATGCTGGAGAGGGACTTTTCATCAGGGACTGTAGTGATAGGACAAGGGGTGATGGGTTCAAACTGAAACAGGGGAAGTTCAGGTTAGATATAAGGAAGAAGCTCTGCCCTGTGAGGGTGCTGAGGCGCTGGCACAGGGTGCCCAGAGAAGCTGTGGCTGCCCCATCCCTGGCAGCGTTCAAGGCCAGGTCGGACACAGGGGCTTGGAGCAAGCTGCTCTAGTGGAAGGGGTCCCTGCCCGTGGCAGGGGTTGGAATTGGATGAGCTTTAAGGTCCCTTCCAACACAAACTAGTCCAGGATTCTGTGATCTATGATTCTATGATTCTATGACTACAAATGGGCATGGTGCTCCGTAAGAGCCCTGAGCACAGGGGCACCTCACATGGCCTCCAGAAAGACAGCTCCGCTTTCTGCTCCTGCTCGTGTTGAGCTTTTCCATCTTCTCCAGGGGTTACCAAGAGATGGTGACGAGGAATGGTCCTAGCACAGCACAAGGGACTACTCCTTAGATCGTTATTTGTGGAAGATTCCTTGCATTTACAGGAAGATACGGCACATGCACCATCAGAGAGCTTCTCAGTAGCATGTGTGTTGATGGTTGTCAAAGCAACACCATGTCCCGTGGACCCCACAGCTCACGGGGCAGGTGACAACACTGGTGACAGCAGCAGGACAGGTTAGTGAATTGGCAAATTTCCCTGGGGCAGTCAAAGAGAGAGGTGGGCATTTCATAATTACTTCGTTACCTGAACACCTTCACTCTCATCTTTTCAACAAGGAGCAAGTAAATGCACGAGAAAATGCTAATCAAGCCTGGATGGAACAAAAGCAGGGATTCAATTGTCACATGAACCATGAGAATTGAACTCTGAGTCCTCCTGTGCTGTTCCCAGTGAGGAAGGAGGTGATACGCAGATAGACTAATATATATATAAGTGTTGAACAAGTCAAAAGAAACTCACAAAGTATCTCTGAGTTTTGTTAAATACTCCAAGTATTCCCATCCTCGGTGACACACAGGGAGGATAATTAAATGAGTGATGGTCCCCTAACAGTCATCTTCCTATGTCACGAATTTTCCTTCAAATATACCTATTCATAAGCATGATGAAGAGCAGCTGACTAAATATCAGGGACATCCCCACACGTAGGCTGAGGCGAAGTTTTGCTACAGTGATTTTTTACTCTTCCTGCTTCTGCCTATAACCTTGCTGAGTGTGCTCATCTTCAGGAACAAAACCAAGCACAACAGATTATGGCAGGCAAAGCTTTGCATTGGTTCTTATCTCTGTCTGAACTGTGCTGCCCAGCACTCTACATGGGATCACACTGCTGATCAGAGCACCATCAGGAGCCCACCAAGCTGGGATGTCCAGTGCAGTTGCATACAAATGAGAAGCATAAAATGCCCCAAGCTTCCTTTTCTCCTTCCAGAAGTCTATGTTTCTCCAGGTAACCCTTACCATGATTCCACACAATCAAACAGAAGTTTGCTCCAGACGTGGTTCGGGTTGACAACATGGGGATGACCATCCAAGTGCTGCAGTCTCAATGCAAATATCATCTCCAAAACCAGGTCTGTGTGGGGCTTCTTGGGAAAGGCAAGCCTGTGAAGAGCAATTTTCAGGAGAAAACACATGGAAGCTTACAAGTTTGTGTGTATATAAAGATACACAAATAAATACCTGCATTTGTGTTCTTCCACTCAGGGTAAAGCAGCTCCCAGTGCCTAAAGGGGCTACAGGAAACCTGGAGAGGGCCTGTAGGGACAGGCCAAGGGGAGTGGCTTTAACCTGCCAGAGGGGAGACTGAGATGAGCTCTTAGGCAGAAGCTCTTCCCTGTGAGGGTGCTGAGGCGCTGGCACAGGGTGCCCAGAGAAGCTGTGGCTGCCCCATCCCTGGCAGTGTTCAAGGCCAGGTTGGACACAGGGGCTTGGAGCAAGCTGCTCTAGTGGAAGGGGTCCCTGCCCGTGGCAGGGGTTGGAGCTGGATGAGCTTTAAGGTCCCTTCCAACACAAACCATTGTAGGATTGTATACAGATGTATTTCTCCATACAGACCTATTTGTTCCTCCTGATGTTACAGAACTTAATTACAAACCCTCAATTTTCACACTTTCAATTCATTTTCATACAGAGCAGAAGCAAATGAAATTGTCTTTTTTCTTTTTCTCTTTTTTTTACACTCAATGGGGTGTCTTTGTGATGAAATGAAATTAAATATGACAGACTTCTGAGAGAAAAGCTGAGTTCCTTTGGAACTGAAAGACTGCTTTAGGTCAGTGTTGTAATTGTGTGAGGACGTTCAAAGCCACCTCAATAAGTGTTTCACGTGGCCACAACGTCCCATAATTCAACTATAAAGTTGTGATAAGAATCTTCCTTTTTAATTTCCTAAAAGAGATGAAGAAACAAAACAAAAGCCACATCTTTGACTGCAAAGCAAATCACTGAAGCACAAACCACTTCTGGATGCCCCTCATGCAATCCCCCTCCCTGTTGCCCAACTCCCCTGCCCTTCAATGGGGCAGCATCCACCGCTGCAGCTCACTCACCCACATCATTCTGGTCTCAGCTCTTCTTCCTGATCCCTTGGTACAGGTCCCACATGCTGATAAGGATCTCTCTACTGACAGTTCACCCATCCGTGTGCATTCCTCTTCTGTACTCAGCTGGATCATGGCAGAAAACGGGAGCGAGGAACTGTGCTGTCCTGGGCTGGGATTAAGATTGCAGCTTGGACGGGGCTTGGAGCAAGCTGCTCTAGTGGGAGGTGTCCCTGCCCATGGCAGGGGTTGGAACTGGATGAGCTTTAAGGTCCCTTCCAACACAAACAAGTCTGTGATTCTATGATTTATTGCCACTTTTGGCATTGGTAGGAATGGAGCTACTGATAAATCAGTTTAGTCTTGCCCCATTACATGTTATTACATTACATGTTCAGTGAGCAGCAAGGGCTAATGCTTGTGTAGTTCCTCCTGCCCGCTCCTCACAGCTTGACATCCCCCCATCAGTAAGTGCTGCAAGGCGATGGTACACAAGATGCTGAGCTGACCCAGCAACCAGCACCACCGCTGCACAATAGGGGACATCCTGGACTTGCTCCACCTTCTTCCTAATAATCTAGCACATTATCAAGGCTCAAGACAAGAGCCCAGGAGCGGCAGAAGCAGCACCAGATAAGCAAGACTGTGGCCAAGAGCAGAGAGGGGAAATGAGGTCACCTCTGATGGCAGTGAGCCATTCTCCTGGTTTACTAACTACCACAACCCAGCACCCCCCTGTAGCCCATTTTCTCATCCCATCCTTGGTGTCCTCTCAACATAGCAGGTTTCTGCCTTTGCTGCCATCACTGCTGATATGGCTGCTCTACCAGGCATGGCTGCACACTCACGGATGAATCCAGTCCCCTGAACAGCACAGCCACGTCCCCCTATTCCCATTTGTCTTCTGGATATCAGTCCAGTGATCTGTTTCTACTACTCCCCAGACAGCCTTTGCAGCACATCCCTGAACTGAGCTCCCTCATTTCTGAAGTTTCCAAACTCTTCCCAACCCTCTTCTCCTTCCTTTCTTTACTTGGCTTCCCACTAAACCCACCATGAACCAGACAGTCCCTGTTCTGGTTCACACCATCCCCATCTCTGGTATCATCTACTCTCCCAGTATCCCTGTACCTGGAAGCTCCTCCTGCCACACAGGTAAATTAGGATGCCACAGCCAATTCCCAGCTGCTTTGTTCTCTCCAACAAGGCTCAGTTTCATCGTGTTATTTCATTCTGTTTCACACAGCGATCTCAGATGACTTTGATTACTCATCTGAAGAATAATAAACCAGCTTCTTATCAAGGCTTTAAAAAGTAATATACCTTGACACAGTTATTTAAGATTGAGAAGTCGGGGGGGCAGAAATAATTATTTCAAAAGGGGGAAGTCTCTTACTACACAGATGCCAGAGAAACACAAGATACTGCTGAAATGAAATAGCATTGAGGCTGAGTTTACAGGAGCTACAAATTCGTAACTAAAATTAAAATGCAAAGAAGAACATTTGATAATAAATAAACTCAGAGACACTGCACAGCAATTAAAAGCAGCCTACTGAGAGGTGAATCTATGGAAGTGCAATAAGATGTTACAAAAGTTTGTAAAATGGGACATGAATCTAATTAACCTGAGCAGTGGCGACAACCCAGTCTGAATGCAAAGCATTCCCACTTGCTAGGTCCTCGGTCCCAGAAATGCTACCAGAGCCCAAGAACGCCAGAGAAGAAACTACTCGGGTGCTGTGGCACATCTACAGCAGTAGCAAGGGGAAGGATGGAGAACTTGAAGCTGATTTGCTTCTGATGTCAACACGAATTAGGATTAAAACAGACATTAGGCAGAAGCTCTTCCCTGTGAGGGTGCTGAGGCGCTGGCACAGGGTGCCCAGAGAAGCTGTGGCTGCCCCATCCCTGGCAGTGCTCAAGGCCAGGTTGGACACAGGGGCTTGGAGCAAGCTGCTCTAGTGGAAGGTGTCCCTGCCCATGGCAGGGGTTGGACCTGGATGAGCTTTAAGTTCCTTTCCCACCCAAACCTTCTCACAGTGAAGAATTTTTTCCTAATATCTAATCTAAACCAACCCTCTTTCAGCTTCTAGAAGGCTGGAAGCTTATTAAGAAGAGTGACATTACAATACCTCTATAACTGTAAAGTTTAGATTAGATCACAGACAAGCTCCTGTTTGAATCAGGGGCTGAATTGATGATGGCTGAGAAGACAGTTGAGGAGAATCTGGGGAATAAGCTGAAACCAGCCCAGGTTTGGAAACAATGCCTACTTATGCTTTTAGAAGACAAAAAAATCCTCGAATCCAATATTTATAAGGACAGAATTAAACTTTTGGAGCTTGCAGAGATAACTCACGCAGCCTCCCGCTTTGAGGAGGAGGTGGTTACTCACTCCAAAGCATATCCATCACCGTTCCTCTGAAGAGCTGCTAGGCCAGGGGGCTGGTTATGATGAGCTGTTCTTTACCACAGAGCAATAGCTGCATAAACCCCATGGTGGGACTACGTTGTTTGTTGCTTCGTTAAGTGCTCTGACATCCAGCATGAGGAAGGATGTATATAAATGACAATACAATGCATATGGACAAGGAGCACAATGGAAGTAGTTTTCTATTTATTTCTGGAAGTCAATAACTATTCTTTTCGTTGTAATTTTTAGTCTTTATTATTGCAAGACGCAGTTATTCCTAAGCAGGCGCATGAGGAAGGGCTTCATGTGCTGTAATGTAATGATCCTGCCACATTGTTAGAGTATTAATCAGAGGATCTAATTTTATACATAGTCCAAACATCAACAAATCTCTTTTAAAGGTATTGATTTTATTGACTTTAAGACATATTGTAGCTCTCAGGACAAAGACAGAGAAAAGTTCTACGCAGATGATGCGCAGCGAACAAATAGATGTAGTTACCACCACCTTGTGTTTGTAATGCACGTTGGCTGTGCTGGTGTTCTAGATGAAGTAAGCCAGGAGTTTGCTACCTGATTTCCACAGACGCAGATTCAAGCTGGCTAAAGGGAGTGTTAGAGAATGATTGATTTTTCTACCTGTTAGAGAAATGAACAAGTGTGGAACACTGAAACGTGGACTGGAGCTTGAAGTAATGGTTTCGATTATTGAGATTACCAGAAATTCTAGGAGCCACCCAGGGTCAATCATAGAATCCTGGACTGGTTTGTGTTGGAAGGGTCCTTAAAGCTCATCCAGCTCCAACCCCTGCCATGGGCAGGGACACCTTCCACTAGAGCAGCTTGCTCCAAGCCCCTGTGTCCAACCTGGCCTTGAGCACTGCCAGGGATGGGGCAGCCACAGCTTCTCTGGGCACCCTGTGCCAGCGCCTCAGCACCCTCACAGGGAAGAACCACTCAATGTGGTTCTGAATTCCCAGTGAAAACATCTGGAATACTCAACTTTCTTTTTTTCCCTTTTCACTTTTGGACCATTAGCTTCTTCAGGCAAGAACTTGGCCTTATTCCCTGACTGTGTTATGCTTCACACCACGACTTCAGCCTATTTGTGTGCCTAGGAATTATTGCAAATGTCAGCTAAAACATAGCCAATTGATATTCCCTTAAAGCTTGATCTAAAAAGCTTCTTTTAAATATACACAAAACTCATCTGGGTCTAAATGGATAGGTCAGGATAAAGGGTATGTCCCTACTTGTCTACAGAAGGTAGGCAGGTGAAGCCAAAGAAGAGAACTCTTTCATAAAGTAAGAGCCACAGTAAAAAAGTCCCTCTGTGTCTGTAGATTCAGATTCTTCTAGCGGAGCTCAAGCACCCCACATGTTGTGTGCATATTGGGAATACAATACAGTAACTGAAGAAAAATAAGACTGAGAAAGGATTTTTGGCCTTAGTGGGAGGGCTGACAGTAGAAGGGATGACGTTAAAGGTTGCCACAGACTTTCTGAGGCATCTTCTCAATCTCTTCTGATGCTTAATTAATTTTTATGTACTTGGACAGGTGGTACTTTAGGGTTCTCCTAGCAAATGTGCTACCATCACACCATAAAGCCACCTGCACTTCTTCCAAGTGTGTTCTACAATGTGAAATCCCACAGGATGGACTGAATGCTCCAGAGGTTTCTCTTGAGGACACAGACCTAAGTGTGGTTGGTTTAAATTCAGTTTATCCTGCTACTTAAGCTAGTATCTCTGATTTCTAAAGATTCCTAACTTGGAAGCCTCTGGATGATCCAGTTCCTGCCATGGGGTAATTTCCCTTCCAAAACTGCTAGGAAAAAGCTACCTTTACCTTGAAACCCTCTCTCTCTGATTTTGGCAGCTGCCCCACATCTAATTCAGTCCTTCGCTCCTCCCTGAAGTGCTGTCCTGTGTATCTGAGGCCAAAACTCACTTATCTCATAAATATTAGGAAGGATTCATGGAAATACTAGTGAGGATGATAACAGAATGAACTGCAGGAGGAACATGATGAGTATTACAGAGAGAAATCTCCTTAACTTTATTAAAGGAAATCACTTGCAATAGCTTTTTAAGAATAATCCTTCTTGCTGTTCTTTAATACTAGTAGGAACCACTGAACGCATCTTTTAGCTTCCCAAGAAGGCTCCTGTGAGACTTTCTTTGGCTACAGCATCCTGCAGAAGTTCCTGCTGTGGGTTCCCTCTGTGGTCTCTGCAAAGAGACTGCTGTGCTGCTGCAAGGCGCAGTGGGATGGTGAATCATCACATGAGCAGTTGTGTTGTTACTTACAAGTGCTGAGTTTTGTAAGTTAAAATCTAAACAGCTGTAAATGCAATCAACAATGTCAAAGCTTCTCAGGATTCACTAGAAAAGACCATGTATTTCTGAGATACTCAAAGGACTGCTCCAAGTTGATATCATTTACTTTACCATGAGGGTGCTGAGGCGCTGGCACAGGGTGCCCAGAGAAGCTGTGGCTGCCCCATCCCTGGCAGTGTTCAAGGCCACGTTGGACACAGGGGCTTGGAGCAAGCTGCTCTAGTGGAAGGTGTCCCTGCCCGTGGCAGGGGTTGGAACTGGATGAGCTTTGAGCTCCTTTCCAACCCAAACCGTTCCAGAATTCTATGATTCTATCATCATGGCAGCTTTTCCATCTCCTTCACTTTCTCACAGACTGCAAGGCTTTCAAGTCTCATTCTGGTTTTACCCTGCTTACACAGACCTCATTTCCCTAACACGTCATGGTCTTCTCCGTGTTCCCTCTTTCCCTTACACCAAAGACACGAAACAAGTGCAGGAGGAGGATGGAGTTTACTGCCACCTCTCTTGGAAAGCACTGCTACAATAAAGACTCCTTCTACACTTTCCCAGTTACTTGGGTCTCCAGTCAGCACACTCCACACAGGTTTTTCCTGAGGTTGATAGTGTATGTGCCTGCACAGCCATTGACCATTTCCCACTTCTTTCTTGGCAGAGGAGTTTCCACAACAGCATCTATATGTTGTTTCAGAGAAACTCATGCAAAGGGCTCTCTTGGGGCTGTACACTGAGCGGGACGAAAGGCAGGCACACAATGAGAGAGGCAGGCATTGCGTGTAACCTGGCTGGTAGGGAAACAGAACAACTGGGCCCTAATAAGATTATTACAGTGCAAAGTTATTCTGTTGAGATAAGGAAGAATTTTAATGACTTTGGTAGAAGGTATCAAGCCATCATTAGCTGATCAGCCCGACTTCCCGAGACGCCTGGTTTTGCATACGTGGGATTGCTTTGCTTAGAGGCTCCCAGCCAGCTCCATGATACCGTGGTGACTGAAAGGGGAGATAAATCTCTCAATCTCTATTTTAATTTCAATACAATTGCCTTATTACAGTGTTATGTGAAGAATATGCATGGTACTTCCCACGGGTTTTGCTTTTCCCAGCAGCAAATGTCTCACTCGCTGTTTGGGCAGAACAGTTCTCTTGCTAAATTGCCCACAAAGCAAACTATTATAGACTAGAGGTACCCTGTGGGTATGATTGAAATTTATATGCAAGGAACAATCAGGAATGCCAAGTGCACTGGATAAACTGTAGGTAGGTGGCAGAAGGCAGATAAGCAGCCTAGGAGGTTTAAGTTACAGGATCTTAAGCCACAGAAAGATTCATTCTGTAATTTACATTACAACCAGTTTCATTTGTCAAATGAATAATGGAAAGCTCATACAGATAAGTATTTGAGGGTCAATCCTTTGAGGTGCTGAGCACTCAGCTCCCACTGAAGTCAATGTGGGAGCCAAGGCTTTTTAAATGCGTGTCTCTGCAGCGGAGGGGATCAAACTTGTTAGTTACTAGGCACTGCAGATCAGCAAGCTGCTCCTGCTCTCCCAGTTGAACACATTTGATGGCTTTAAGAGAACACTGCGTTTTAAAGACACAAATCACTTCATGAAAAGGTACAGAGCAAATGATTTATTTACTTTTAAAACACCCTTAAAAATATTGAAGTGTTACCTGAGGAAACTATTCATTTTCCTTTTGCTGAGTAGTCAGGCAAAGATTCATTCATATTCGCATTCATATAATGTAAGATTCTGAGGAGACCTTAGAGCAGCTTCCAGTGCCTACAGGGACAACAAGAAAACTGGAGAGGGGCTTTGGACAAGGGCCTGTAGGGACAGGACAAGGGGAATGGCTTTAACCTGCTAGAGAGGAGGTTGTGACAAGACCTTAGGAAGAAGTTCTAGCAGCAGGGGTTAGAGCTGGATGAGCTTTAAGGTCCCTTCCAACTCAAAACAGTGGGATTCTATGATTTAATTACGCCATTTGACAGAAAAATTGCCATTTCCTTCAAATATGCATTAACATCATAAAAGCTTGAGAGGCATCAGAAGTCCTGAAGCATAGTGTGTTATACGTTTCATAGTTAACATCTTCTCTGTAGAACAGACAGTGATAGTGCGGAAAAAAACCATTCCATTTAAATCACAAAGACCTTCAGGAGCTGAAATG